CTGGGTCAGACCAAAGGTCCATCTATCCCAGTAGCCTGTCTGCCGACAGCGGCCAACCCTAGGGACCCTGGAGGGGATGGACCGAAGACAGTGACCAAGCCATTTGTCTCGTGCCATCCCTCTCCAGCCTTCCACAAACTTTGGGCAGGGACACCACTCCTACCCCCTGGCTAAGACTACTCCATGGACCCAACCTCCATGACTTGATCTCACTTCCCTTTAAACTCTTTTCTAGTTGTAGCCTTCACAGCCTCCTGCAGCAAGGAGTTCCACAGGTATACTATTTGCTTTGTGAAGAAGAACAACTTTCTCTTACTAGTTTGAAGCCTGCTACCCATTCCTTTCCTTTGGTGTCCTCTAGTCCTTCTTTATGGGAACTCAGGAAGAACTTTTCTGAATGCACCCTCTCCACCCAACCCCTGCTTTTAGAGACCTCTATCCTGTCCCCTCTCCGTCTCCTCTTTTCTAAGCTGAACAGTCCCAGTCTCTGTAGCCTTTCTTCATCTGGGACCTGTTCCCAACCCCTGATCATGTTAGTTGCCCTCCCCTCTCCCAGCCTTTCTCTTCCCCTCTCCCACCTCCTTTTCCCAGTCTCCCCCAGTTTTGTTCAATAAAGACAGAGTCAATGTTGGAAGAAACGTTATCTTTATTTTGTACATCAGGAAGGGGGCTAGGGAAGGGTAAGTGGAAGGAGGTGAGGGAGGAATGGGGTACGAGCCCCCGATGGGGAGGACTGGGCTGGCTCTGCGGGCTTCTGGAGGTGGAAGCTCTCCTGCAGCCCCCCAATTGCCCCCTCTCCCCAGATGGCAGCCTGCGGCAAGTGCAGCCGGTCTGATGGCCGAGTGCTGTGATGTGCCCAGTGTGGGCACTCCGGGCACTCCAAGCCAGGACTGGTTTTCAAGCAGGGCACCCCTGAGAACTGTCTGTCCGGAGTGGGGGTCGGGTCCCTTTAAGCGCAGCCCTCGGCTAGCCTGAGACAGCAGCTCCACGCTCTAAGTCCTCCTCTGATGCCCTGCCGGCACTGCTTCCAGCCATCCTTAAGCCCTGTTCAGGGTCCACTCAATGTGGACATGCTAGTTCGAATTAGCAAAACGCTAATTCGAACTAGTTTTTAGTTCTAGACGCGTTAGTTTGAATTAGCTTAGTTCGAATTAACTGTACAGTTAGTAGACATACCCTAAGAGCTTGACTATAGACAATGGATCGTATGGTGTGTCCTGGATGGAAGTTGGAGGCATGTAAGTAAGTGTAGCAGTCTGCGGGCTTCCTGTAGAGAGTGGTATTGGTTGGTTGTAAATCTCCAATACTTTGTGTGGGTAGCATAATCACATTTTAATACACATAGGCTCTATTGCAGTAGTGCATGTTAGGTGGTAGGATCCAGGTCCTGATGGACTGTTGGTCACTTTCAGGATGGCAAATGAATTCCTGAGGTTTCTAATAATTTTCTTGTGGCTAAAAAAATCTGTTTGATCTGGTCCATGTGCTCTTAGTGAATGTGGAAATGTCTGTTAGATCTGATGATCAGATGGCAAGTCTGACAAATTGGGTTGGGTGTGGGATGTTTTAGGTGCTTATATAAGACAAAGCCCAGCATATCAGGACTGTCCTTGTAAAATCAGGACATCTGATCTCTCTAGTTAGCTCAACCCTTATCTAAACTCGTTTATATCCTGGCTTTCTTTTCAGTGAACCGTTTCTGTGTGACTTCAGGTAACCAGACTGGCTTTTTATGTGATGATAGAGTGACTTGCCTTCCAGCCAGTCGGATCTGCAACAGAATCAGAGACTGTGTTAATGGAGAGGATGAGCAGGAAAAATTATGCAGTAAGCATTTTTTTTAACGTCTTCTCCCTGTGCGGATTTCTCTAGCCCAGTGCCAGATTTATGCACAAGCTAAGTAAGCTACAGTTTAGCACTTCAGATTATAAGAGGCCTCTAAATACAAAAAATTACTGGTTATTAGCTGCATCCCTGCCTATGTACTGGTATATATACAAATATAAAACTTTATTATTTCTATTTTCATAAAAGAGGAGACTAAGGGGGCGGGAGATATGATAGAGGTCTATAAAATCATGGCGGCTGTGTCTGCACTGGCAAGTTATTCCGGAAAATCAGCCGCTTTTTTTTTGCAGAAAAGCACATCTAGATTGGCCACAGATGCTTTTCCGCAAAAAGTGCTTTTGCGGAAAAGCATCCTGCCAATCTAGACGCGCTTTTCCGAAAATGCTTTTAACAGAAAACTTTTCCGTTAAAAGCATTTCCGGAAAATCATGCCAGTGTAGACGTAGCCGGCAGGTATGGAGAAAGTGAATAAGGAAAAGTTATTTACTTGTTCACATAACATAAGAACTAGGGGTCACCAAATGAAATTAATAAGTGGCAGGTTGAGAACAAACAAAAAGGACGTTTTTCTTCATGCAGCGCACAGTCAACCAGTGGAACTCCTTGCCAGAGGATGTTGTGAAGACCAGGACCGTAACAGGGCTCAAGAAAGAGCTAGATAAATGTATGGAGGTTAAGTCCATTAGTACTTATTAGCAGGGCTTGATGAACGGCAGCGAAAGCCACTAGCCAGCCCCGCACTGCATATGCGGAAGACCCGCTTTGCACATGCGTGCACTGCAAATGAATGGGACGCCTAGCTGAAATCTACTTTGTCGAGCTAGCTATTAGCCAGGATGGGCAGGGATGATGTGCCTAGCCTCTATTTTTCAGGAGCTGGGAACAAGAGACAAGGAATGGGATCACTTGATGGTTATCTGTTCTGTTCATTTATTCTGGGGCACCTGGCATTGGCCACTGCGGGAAGACAGGATATTGGGCTAGATGAACCTTTGGTCTGGCCCAGTATGGCCGTTCTTATGTCCTTTCTGTTAGAATAATACACATTTTTTGATAATGCTATATGGTCTCTTACATAAGAACATGAGAAAATGAGAATGGCCAGACTGGGTCAGATCAAAGGTCCATCCAGCCCAGTATTCTGTCTGCCGACAGTGGCCAATGCCAGGTGTCCCAGAGGTAGTGAATCGAATAAGGTAATGATCAAGTGATCTCTCTCCTGCCATCCATCTCTACTCTCTGACAAACAGAGGCTAAGGACACCATTTTTTACCGATACTGGCTAATAGCCAGGGCTCACCGAACCGTGATGAGCTCCGCTCACCAGCTGCGCTGTCCGGCGATCTGCGTATGCACAGATCACCCGAACCCGGCTCTTCCGGGTTACAATCTACTCACCACGGGCGATTAGATTGTATAATTTGTCGAGCCCTGCTAATAGCCATTTATGGACTTAACCTTCATGAATTTATCTAGTTCTCTTTTAAACCCTGTTATAGTCCTAGCCTTCATAACCTCCTCAGGCAAGGAGTTCCACAGATTGACTATGTGCTGTGTGAAGAAGAACTTCCTTTTATTTGTTTTAAACCTGCTGCCCATTAGTTTCATTTGGTGGCCCCTAGTTCTTATATTATGGGAACTTTTCCTTATTCACTTTCTCCACACCACTCATGATTTTATAGATCTCTATCCTATCCCCCCTTAGTCTCCTCTTTTCCAAGCTGAAAAGTCTGGAGAAAGGGGTAAACAGTGAGATGGAAAAGTTTGCAGATGATACTAAACTCTTTAATCTCTGCTCATATAGGACCCTTTCCAAACCCCTACTCATTGTACTTGCCCTTCTCTGGACCTTTTCTAATGCCAGTATATCTTTTTTGAGATGAGGAGACCACATCTGTACGCAATAGTCAAGATGTGGGTGTGCCATCGATTTATATAAGGGCAATAAGATATTCTCCGTCTTATTCTCTATCCCTTTTTTAATGATTCCTAATATCCTGTTTGCTTTTTTGACTGCTGTTGCACACTGCATGGACGTCTTCAGAGAACTATCCACGATGACTCCAAGATCTCTTTCCTGATTAGTTGTAGCTAAATTAGCCCCCATCATATTATATGTATAGATGGGGTTATTTTTTCCAATGTGCATTATTTTACATTTATCCACATTAAATTTCATTTGCCGTTTTGTTGCCCAGTCACTTAGTTTGGTGAGATCTTTTTGAAGATCTTCACAGTCTGCTTTGGTCTTAACTACCTTGAGCAATTTAGTATCGTCTGCAGACTTTTCCACCTCACTGTTTACCCCTTTCTCCAGATCATTTATGAATAAGTTGAATAGGATTGGTCCTAGGACTGACCCTTGGGGAACACCACTAGTTACCATCTCCATTCCGAAAATGTACCATTTATTCCTACCCTTTGTTTCCTGTCTTTTAACCAGTTCTCAATCCATGAAAGGATCTTCCCTCTTATCCCATGACAACTTAATTTACGTAAGAGGCTTTGGTGAGAGACCTTATCAAAGGCTTTCTGGAAGTCTAAGTACACTATTTCTAATGGATCCCCTTTGTCCACATGTTTGTTGACCCCCTTCAAAAAACTCTAATAGATTAGTAAGACATGATTTCCCTTTACAGAAACCAAATTATGTTCTTCTATGTGTCTGACAATTTTATTCTTTACTATTGTTTCAACTAATTTGCCTGGTACTGATGTTAGACTTACCAGTCTGCAATTGCTGGGATCGCCTCTTAAACTTGGCATAGCTTAGGGCCTCAGCATATCTTCATCCTGCCCTGTTTCAGCCCTCCTGGGCATGCTCATCACACTCCCTTGTTTTCTCATGTTTTAACCCTCCCCTTACTCATGGCTCCATATTTTAGCCGCAACTCTTCATAACCCAGCTGCTGAGAGACTGATTTGTTCAAGGCTGTGAAGGGAGTTGTGAAGAACCAGAAACAGAAGAATCCAGATCCTTTGTTTTGCACTTGTGAGCCTTAACCATGAGGTCCCCTTCCTCTTTTGTTGAAGTTAGTCATAATATGAGTAAGTGGCCCTAGTGACAGAGCATCATATTAGCATGCAGAAGATTTGGCTTTGATTTATGGTTCAGTCAATGACAGAAGAGATAGACTTGTTAAAACACTGGGCAGGGATCCTGGAGGTCTGGGCTGTGCACCTGGCTCTGTTGCAAACTTCCCATAGGACTTTGGGCAAGTCACTTAACCTCTTCGTACCTCAGTTTCCCCATTTTAAATGGAGAATAAGAACATTTCCCTCCATCTCCCGGGGGGAGGAGGCACGTAGTTTAATATTTTTCAAGTGCTTTTGAGATCCTTGTATGAAAGGAGAAAAGAGAAGTGTAAAATAATTAGCTTGTAATTGGCTTCTTAGCCATTATATTTATGTCCAATTGTTGAGTGAAGTTAGAACATTTCACTATCTTCAGGTATCTCCTCTTATAGTTGATCTGCCCAGTAACCTTCCAGGATATTTGATCTTCCGCTGCAGCAACCCCACATACTGGATCTATGCTGATATGAAGTGTAACGGCGCAAATGACTGTGGAGACTGTTCTGATGAGAAGGGGAGCTGTAAGTCAGCTGCTTTTTTTACTGATGTAAACTATAATTAAAGGGTTTGGTGCTTGTAAAAGATAGTGGACTGACAGTGAGAGAGACTGATAACTGCCCTTTACCCACAAAACAGAACGTGAGTAAAAACAGTGCAGACTTCCTGTCATCCCACAAAGGTACTTCAACCTTAACCTGGAAACACCTGTTGTTCAGGCTCTCTCACCTGCTTAGTCCTTGGTCTCTCTGCTGAAACAGCACGTATGCTGGATGTGGTGGGTTTGTTATGCAGACATCTGTTCAACAGGCATTGGATTGTCTCCACCAATTTAATTTTGCATCAACTGCCAAGCAGACATCTGATGCTAATAACTCCTGATCACTACCAACTTGGGCCATATTCAGATTAATGACCTAGAGGGGAAAGGCTTCATAGTCCATTGCCAATCCCCTGAACCAGTTGTTCTCTGGTACACACTGTCTTTAGATTGACTTTTTTTCTCAAAAAATTCCTGTCGCCAGCAGTACAAATTCAAAATGAATAGCTGATCCTTAGGGATGTGTTCAGCAGCTTACTGAGTGCCAGCTGGAATTAAACACTGCTTAAAAAAAGGTCATGTTTGAAATTGGAAGCTAAAGGTTGGGATTTGCAAAGTAGTCTTGGAAAAGTAGACATGTTTTCCACTGAAACTAATGGAATTGCGTATCTGGGTCACTTAAACTGTTTTGAAAATCTCAACCACAACATGAAGACCTGAACTGATGTGTATCAACAGTTGTATCTAGAAGAAATTCAGATAATAACATTTGTGTCTTATGAATGTTGACTGGCTGTTCCTCTCACTGGTAGCTAAACTGTTCCTGACTTCTGCCTCAGGGTCCTCTTTACATGTACCCACCACTATCTGCTGCCTCTAAGAAATTAGGTGGCTGTTTAAGGTTAAATATGCTCGTGCTGGATGAAAGATTTTCTTTTTTTTTTGCATTTTTTATGTCTACTAGGTGAGAGTTCATATCTGCCAACATAAAGTCTAAAACATAATTTGTAAGAAAAGCAGAAAAGTCAATGGTCCCTCTTTTCTTTTCTCCTTAGTGGCCAGCTGCCCTCCTTGTGGGACTCTGTGGTGGAGCTGCACCCCGGTGTTCTATAGGTATTGCACTTGCATTCCCAGGACCTTCTGCCAAGACAGAATCCAGCACTGCTCAGACTGGTCTGATGAGTATATCTGCAATAGATGAAGTTACTGGAGCTGAGTGGTAGCTACACACCCCCTAGGGCATGGTCTGCGTTCTCCTGATGCTTTAACACCTTGGCTTGAAGTTTTCGTCTGAAAACAACAAGGCCTAGTAGTTTCCTGACAACCATGCAACAACACTGATAGGATGACGTGTGCTATAACAGACTGAACATAGGACTGGGAGCCAGGAATTGCACAGTTCTAATCCCGTGTCTGTGGCTCACTTGCTGTGCGATCCTGGGCATATCACTCACCTTTCTATGTGTTGATTTTCCCATCTGTGAAAGAGGGATAAAGTACTTTGACAATACAAAGTGCTGTCTATGTGTCAAGGTTATGATTGTTGAGATGAGATGTATATACAGACCTACAGGGATTCTTAAAAAAACCATTAAAAAACAACAATGGTCCTGTAGCACTTTAGTGACTAACAAAAATACATAGACAGTATCATGAGCTTTCATGGGCACAATCCACTTCTTCAGATGACAAAAATAGAGCAAGAGGCACCGAGGTTGAATTATAAAGCAGAAAAAGAGGGGATGTAGGAGGAGAAAGTGCCTGCAATGCCCCACTGCCATGTATATTGGTCAAACTGGATAGTCTCTATGGCAAAGGATTAATGGACACAAATGAGATATTCAAAATGGTAACACAGAAAGCTGTTGGAGAATATATTAACTTGTCCGGGCACTCACGCATGGATTTAAAGGTGGCTATTCTCTTACAAAACAATTTCAGGAATCAACTAGAGAGAGAATCTGTAGAACTAGCCTTCATATAAGTTTGATACTATCTCGCAAGGCCTAAAAAAAGACATGAACTGGATAAGCTGTTGTATTCAACACTCAAGTGACATCAAAAGCTCAGTATTAGATACTTACAGCCTACTCTATTAGCCTCATTTAGCACGGACACTTTAGTTGACAGGTTTTTTTCCTTTCCTTCTCCTCTCCCCTTTTTCTCCTCTATAATTCAACCTCTGTGCCTCTTGCTGCATTTTTGTCATCTGAAAAAGTGGGTTGTGCCCATGAAAGCTCATGATACTGTTTATATATTTTTGTTAGTCTCTAAGGCGCTACAGGACCATTGTTGTTTTTTAAGTTTTTTTAAATTACAGACTAACAAGGCTACTCCTCTGAGGGTGCATCTAGACAGCAGCCTTCTGTCGGAATAAGCTACACAATTCGTGCTATGCAAATTTCATAGCTTATTCCAAGTCTAAATCGAAAGATCTTACTTTGAAATTTGGCACTATATTCACAGCACCAGATTTCAAAATAAGGCACTATTCCGACAAATCCCTTAGCCCTCGTGGAACGAGGTTTGCAGTAATGTCAGAATAGTTTCTGGGAAATAGTGAGCACTTCTAAAGACACAGCATTGCTATTTTGGGATATTTCCAATATCCCAAAAGAGCAACACAGTCTAGGTGTACCCTGAGCCTACAGGGACTCTATTGTTTTTCTTTCCTTTTTAGGGAAAAAACCCTCAAATTCAGATTATTATAAAATAATAATGACCAACTAAAATAATAATGAAGACCAATAAATGACCTCTTACTCTTTTTGGTTTTGATAACATCAGTGACTTCCAATTGATCACTAATTTGTTAACATGCAAGGAAAGGAGGAGAAATTCCCTGAGTCTTGTATAGTGTTAAACTACATGAAATCGGGTTGCAATACTCATTGCTGTCCATCTATTTAAAAAAAATCATGTAAATATCCTCTGAAATGAAATTGGATATTCTGCAGAAGTAGATGTGAAAATGAGAGGAAATTTTAAAAATAAGTGATATAAAACTGCTAGCTCTATTCTTTCTGTAGTTTGTTGTTGTGAGGCATGAAGAAACCATTTATTAACAATATTGTATACATTGTGCTGTAGTTTTCCCTTTTGTAACTGATTCTAAAGTGGTCCCTCCAATGTTTGTGAAAACACCAATCACTCATCCCATGGTGAAATACTAATGGGTATATTGGTGGCTGGAGGCCAGGTGGACAAGATGCAACAGTGGGCGAAGGGCCACCCCAAACAGTGGTGCAGAAACTGTCCCTAATTGACAGAATAAAATGGGTGACAGACTATTAAAACAGTAATTAACACGTTAGCTCAGGGAGTAGAACAAAATGGAGGAAATAGGTGAGAAGAGAGCCCCAAAGTGATTTCCTCTCTCTTCTGTTCCAGGCCTAAGAAAGTGTAGATAAGGGGTGGATTCTAAATAAACCACATGTGAAGTTCACAGCAGTCTCTAAGCAGTCTGTGTGCACAGAGGGAGTATCCTGTGACAGAGAGAAAGTGAGTCCTTTCTTCCTCCTATAACCTGTTACTGCCAATATAAGCCTTGTGAGTGATAGAGTTTGAAGGATATTTTCTCTTAGGATAGAATTGTGGAGTGGCAGTTTTCTAAGCGCAAGCACAGGATTAAACTGCTAGTATATGTTTTGTACCAGGAAGTATGAAAGTCAGAAAATAAACAGTTCAGTAGCAGCACTGAGAAAAGCAGGCCATAGAAAATCAGGTGTCCCATCTGTTTCTCTAGGTGTCTAAGTGACACAGAGCCCATTATCGGTTCATACATTAATGAAATAGCTGCATCAGGGTCAGTGCTTGAGACTTTCAAAGTAGTTTGAGATTTACCCAGGTGTCTTCCATAGGAATAAAAGGAAGAGCTAATCCCTTTAGACCAATTTGAAAAATCTCAGCCAGTGCAGTCTAATTAGGCATGTTATGCTTGAAGGCACTATAACACTGACCGACAGAAACAAACCTAGGACCTCTGGACCTTAGTGCATAAGCCTCTTCAGCTTCAGCTAAGAGCAAACTGGTTCTCAACTAAGGCCATAGAGCACACATTCTTTTTCTCTGTAAGTGGTCTAAGTGCCACTGCATGGGACAGTGAACCACACCCAGCAGGTGTGTGGGTTACAGAAACAAGACTTGATAGTAAACACAATAAATCTGTTTATAAATAAGAAATAAGCATCAGTCAGTATTTCCCCTAGTCGCAACACTACCTCAGTTCATACCTGAGCCCATTCCTTTTCTCTGTGTTCTGTGCATTCTAAAACTATGCGTGTCACCATGATTTGTGTACATGCAAAATGTTGATTGTTACTTGTAACTGGGATACAGCGGTAGATCTGAAACCTCCTTTGTAAAATAGCTTTACTGTTTTTCTGACTCATGATTTTATCTTGAATGAAACAGTAAAATCTTCTGTCATGGAACAGCAACTATAGCAACTTTTAAAGTAGTATTTGATAACCTATCCCTGCAGAGCTGTAAACCAAGCAATAATGGATGGCTTCCTTTTCTTGTTTGTAGAAAATGTTGTAATGTATTTAATGCTCCAGCTAAGAGGAGACACACTTATAAACCATTAGTTGCCTAAGTAAATATTTTCACTTCAGAGTTTTAAGAATTCCAGTACAAGACCCAAATGTTAATCAGAGATTCCTAGTTGTTTAACTATTAATGGGAGATTAATGGAATTTGAAATACAGGTCATGTTCAGTAGTTCTGATTTACAAATCACTCTGCCTAATTTAACACTTCAATAAAGCTGATATTCAGTTGGTAAATTAAGCTTTGTTTTAATCATTATAATCATGGCTTGTGTTCCTCATACTAACCCAAGGAGTGTCTTGTGGCAATCTACAGGGAAAATATTTGCACATTTCTTAAAAGAAGTGAGGATGTGGAAATAACACTGCCGACCCTTCTGTTCTACGTATGAGCAACATCCAACTCCCCTTGAACTCAATGGAGTCTTGTTGACTTCAGTGGAAGTAGGGTCAGGTCCCAGTTGGGTTCTAATGTCCTAGGCTGTTTGACTGTGTAGTGGCTTTGTGACAGCTTGAAGGCACCTATAATAAACAGTGTTCATTGCATTTTTCCAGCATTGTAGGTACAAGAGAGCTACATTTAAAGGCTATGTCTACACTGGCAGCATCTTGCGCAAGAAAATGTCCACACTGCTATGTGTGAGCTGTGCTTTTGCGCAAAAGCGGGTGGGCAGTGTGGACACGCTGCAGATTATTGCGCAAGAACGGCTGTACTTACACAAGAAGCCGCAAGTGTAGACATAGCCAAAATGTGCTGCATCCAAGGGAGCATTCCAGGAAACAGAAAGGTAGCACAGTAAAAAGAAAAAATGCCTTGTTTATCACACAATACAGAATTAGCCATGGAACTCATTGCCACAAGATACTACAGAGACCAACACTTTAGGTTGTTTCAAAAAAGGATTTGTCATTTGTATGAATGAGACCATCCATAGTTACATTAGTAAGGATAAAAATAATGAATTTGCAATGGATATGAACCTGGATGTTGCAGAGCATAAACCAATCTGTAAGTAAGGAAGTATCTTATTCTGTAACTGTCCACTACAGTGTTTCTGGTTTCTTCTAAGCATCTAACTGCACATCTATGCTGCATGGCTATTTCAGGATACCAGGGGTCTATACAAGCCGCCTGTTATTTCAAAATATTTTTCAAAATAACAGGTGCACTATTTTGCAATCCTGGTAAAACTCATTGCACGAGGGATAAAGAATGGCTCAAAATAGCACATCATTTCAAAATAACATCAAAATAAGATACGCAATTTGCGTAGTGCAAATTGTGCATCTTATTTCAAGTTAAGGGTGCTGGGTAGACGCATCCTAATACTGACCATTGTCAGAAGCTGATGGACTACTGTTTTGATCTTGATGGGCAATTTCTATACTACTTATTCGATAGGTGTACAATACATAAAAGTGTTCTAAGTTATTTTATAGACTAAGAACTGAATCTCTCATCTTAGACAGGATGTCAAAATTGGGCATCATAATCAATAGATAGGGATTGGGCTGGGAAAGAATAGGGTTTACAGCAATAAGCATTTATACAGAAGCCCATGTTGGCTTTTGGACCCACGACCAATTTCATGGGCTTCTGGGTGGTGAGGAACCGAGCGCTTTTGGTGGTTTTTGAGAACCATTGTTTTTGAGAACAAGGCAGGATGGTAAATGTCCAACTTAGCAGCCACTATTAATATACCCAATTTTTGACACATGATGGAGGAAGGCACAGGAGTATAGACCCTATGCATAAGATGGAGAGAGACCCTCTTCTTAGCATATGTGCTACACATGCATCAGGGTGGCATCTGACAAGGATTCATCGCTGAATTTGGGCCAATAGCTGGTTGGATCAGTAGCTTCCCTGGTAGGCTAGGTACTGACTGGGAATGTGAGAGGAACCCTCATCCATGCCCTGCAGAAAGGCCCTAAAAGCCAAGAGGTGGTGGGACTGTCCTAGATGGCATGTGCATGTAAATCTGCTTTAATTATTTTTACAATCCTTTGTTTTGTGGTGACATGATTGTAAATACGTAAGTAGAACCACAAACCGAAAATGTGGGTATACCTTCCTGTC